TTCTCAGTATTTTTAAGTATATTTTAATGTAACCCGTAGGCAAGACAAATGATAAGTTTATTACTTCTTAATAATTAATTTCTGTCCAGTGACTCGTACCGACGAGTTCAAAAGGAAAAGGAAATGCGACAAATTATCATATACGGTTCGGTCGCTCGTTATGGTCCGCGAACCAGTTGCCAGCGCATGGTTAAGTATCCGTCACTGTCCCCACCAATTTTTCGAACTGGGACTATCTCATTCTACGATACCTTACCGTGCGACTTGCCGCAGGTCGCGTGAAATATGACACTTGCACGATACAAAGCGAGTGACACCTGATACCGAAATTTCGGCACAATTCGCAGAATACACCTTCCCACTCGATCGTCCGACTAAACGAGGACTAATTCTACTTGCAGTGTGTTCGAACATCGAAACGACCAGAGGTTCGAAAGTGACTCGCGGTGCACTCGATCCTATCTCTAGCGAACGCTTGAACGTGCTCGAAAACCGTCGACCGCGATCGCGTTGGAACCGTGCATTCAGTTTTCTTATCGGCCACGCGGCGGCAACCAGGTTCCCTCATCTTCCTTGGATTAATCGTCGCCCGCCACGCGATATTTCCAACCCCTGTGTAGCTAGTGTATACTCGTATGTGTGTGTGTGTGTTTGTACGTGTGAACAGGTTCGTGTCCCTGCACCAATGCCCTTTTCGCAAAGGCAACAATCGAGGTTTCAAGTAAATCTGGACGCGAGCGAAGGAAATCGTAAGACTTACGTATAACGTTGGGGGCCTCGAGGAGATATTTCACGGTTAAAGTATTCTTACTGGAAACGAAAGCCGAAGATAGCCGATTGTTCGCGTGTACGATCCGATGTCGCCGTTTTCAGCAGGGGACGTACGTACGTACGTACGTACGTGTGTTTGGGAATTTGTCGCGTGCATTGAAAAGCGTACAATAACGTCGATGCAAAGTCGACGAGAATGACGAGCGAATATAAATCACTCGCGGCGCGGCGGAAAGATGATGAATGTTACGAGCAACGTTCGAGAGAGAGAGAGAGAGAGAGAGAGAGAGAGAGATTGCGATCTCTGAAACATGACGGGTTCCGATCGTGTAGAAGTTCCAGCATTCTGTCGATGATATTTTGGGAAAGTTGGCAGCCGTTATCAGTACGTCGGACGTGTTTCTACATTTATGGGAGATTTAAGGCCATAAAATGTGCAAAGTAGGATACTGTTTATAACGTTAGACAACCATGAATATTCTCTCACGACAGAAGAGAATGATTTAGAAATATAGAAAGAGAACGTAAATCTTCTGCCAGTAGCGTTTATTTATATTATTATATTCTTATATTTTATTCTTATATATTCTTCTTATCTTATATAAAAGTAAATTTCCCTCTCTGTTACTTTGCAAAATGGAACAATGACAAGCACGCAAATTACGCGAGCGTTTGACGAATCCATTCGTCGAAGTGAGAAATTATTTATAATTATTTTGAGAAATAAAAAGCGATAGAGACAAATGTAAATAAAACTTTTCTTTCTTTCCTGCCACTAAACAGAGAACCTTCGAATATATTTAGCGCGTAAAACGAACCTCTAACCGGGTCTCGTTTTTTTCTCGAACAACGATTCTTCGACGATCTAAATTTATACGATTATAGCGTTGGCAACTTACAACGCACGAGGATACTACACGTTCGATTGGCGAACGCGGCGATGGAAAAGCGCCGTTCGAATGCGTCGAACGAGATTCGAGTGTTGCTTTTGGGATTACTAAATCCAAGCCACTCGTTCTTCCGTGTTGCAATCACGTTTTAACTTTCGCCGGCGATTTCGTTTCATCGAGTGCCGGTGCACGGCGCGGAACGGAATTACATTTTTACAAGAGCTGCTCAATTTCGACGAAACAACCTCTACCACCCTCGTTCCTCCCCTTCAGCGTGGCAAATGAATTAATTCATAAACGTACGTTGAACTTGATCTCTCTCTCTCTCTCTCTCTCTCTCTCTCTCTCTCTCTCTCTCGCTGGCAAATAAACGGTATTATTCGAATCGATTCGTTGGTTTTTCACGCATCGGCGGGGAAATAAATTTAATAGGCTCGACGGAGGTAATCGCAGCCGGGAATTTAATCTCCCGTTATCGATGCGTACAGCAATGTTTTCTATTAGAGGATTATGTTTGCGAAGCGAAAGGGGACCCACTTCGCCGCGGTAATTACTATTATACACACAGGGCGAAGGACGGTGCTCCTCGCAGCATGTCGATAGTTAATTAATTCGATACGGGACAACAGGTAGCTGTCGTCCGGCAAGCTCGATAAAAACTTTCATTCATAAGCGAATTAATTAGCGACCACGTCGATTAATTCGCCCGCCGGATCTGACCGACTCTCGTGATCCAATCTCTGTTATTGTATCTTCCTAATCTAGAGTACGTCGTATACGATTACTTATGAGAGTAATTCGGACACTATGTAATGAATTTTTAACGAACGTATTAGGCTTGTTGTACAAAAACATTTTGACATTTCATTTTTAACGAAATGTATCTGGTCTAAAATTGTTTAGGAATTATACGAGTAACATAATATGTTTCGTAACAAACAATTATCCAACGAGACTATACGTGATTCGTATTGTATATTAATTTTTTTATTATGATGAATATGTAATTCTCAACAAACACCTTGTAGGAATGTTTTATATGACATAATAATGAAAGTATTTGGTCGAATGCTTTTTTTTTTGGTGACATTATGTGTATCGTTATTGTAGTTGATCAAAATTTATGTCGGTCACAGAAGTGTTACATAAATTTCAGATATTTAAACAAGAACACGTAGGCATAATTTTTTGAATCGGTTAAAGTCGTACAGACTCTGAGGAGATGAATATGTATATATGTACGAAACTGAAGATAAAAAATCATGACGTCGTCTACTATTCAATCACCAATTTCTATTATTCCCATTATACTTATAATCAGAATAAGTTTTTATATGATGATCGCGTGTGGACCTTCGTAAGATTATACTTTTCGCATAGAGCAAAAATTTCAAAAACCACCAAATTAATTATGATGCCTGAACAGCCTGACGGATGTACACACGTAGACTTTTGATGGCTGATCGTGTAACAGACGTGAATTATTTTCTACCGCGCGATCGTCTGCGGTTCACGAGCTCGTTTTCGACGTTTCTTTTGGTTCATAGACATCGTCCGTCGTAATTTGTCTTCGTTGAGAAGTCAGAGTTGTTGATACGAAACGGTAGTTTCCTTCGTCTCTCGTAATTTACACGCGCATCGTCGGTCCTGATTAATCTCGCACGACCTATTAATTTTTTCGTCCGACCGCGAGGGATCTCGGCTGGAGACTCGCCAGGAAATTTCAGCTTTCCGTTTCCGGCGGCGTACGTCGTGGAACCCCGAGATCGATTATTCCGGTGCCCAATGACACGGGACCTTCCGCGTCGGTGCCCGCTTCCGGTTTTTCTTCTTCTACCGAACCAACCAATGCACTTACTTAATTCTTCTCGTTCCCATCGTTATATTTATTCAGCCACTTCGCTTCGTCAGCGTGTGTCATTTATGCTACGTACGTAGGTATTTCGGGATTACATCTTCGAATTACAGTGAAATCTCTGTGAACAGAATTTCGGAAGGATAGACGTATCTTTTTCTTTTTCTGCCTCGTGTTGAGAGGGCAGATCAGTTGTTGTGGACCTAATTTTAAATTTGACAAAGTGGTGCTGGTGTCCACAGCCTGGTGGATCGGCTCATGTTTTTATTTTAGGATACGTTTAGGATACGATTTATTTTATTTAGGATACGTTTTTATTTTAGCATCGGCTTTGGTTTTATTTTAGGATAATACGTATTGTAAACTGTTTCAGATTTAATAAAGCTGTAGACAAGTGGCGGAATTGGCAGAATTGTAATTTTATATTTTTAATTTTTTAATTTTTATATTTTTATATTTTATATTATAATTTTTATATTTTTATATTTTTAATTACAAGACAATTAAAATTAGATCCAGTGTACATGCGGAGTAGATGTTGTATTTCGAACAGTTTGTATATTTTCCCGTATCGTTTTCATTGTGTCTGTTCCTCATAAATTTTTCATAAACGCATCACATTAGGAAAAGAAAATTAAACATCCTCGAAGACGTGTTATCTTTTAGATCTCGAAATCAATAGAATTTCACCTTTGACCAATTCACGAGTAAATTATTTCTTTCATAAACTTCTATCAATTCCAAGAATTCGGAATAAAACGATAAAGTCGATTAAAGTCACAATTAATTACCCTGATTTCACAAATGAACGTTGGTCTATCTTATCGTGGGTAACGTGATAAAGAATTCACCAGTAAATCGAACGAAATCACAGTTAACCAACTAGCTGCAGACGAAGACGAAAATTCGTCGAGTTCAGCGACGAGCGACCAGCTCGGGAACGGAAATTGCGAAAAGGCCCACTGGCACAAAATGCCAGTACGCTCCGTATCGGAATTCGATCCTCCGCCCCGGTCTTCCTGTGGTTCGAATGCAAGAAGTCAAACATTTACACAGCTCGATTTTCCTACGTAGGTAGCACCCTAAGTTTAGCCATTTGGCCAAACACTGTCCGTCGATGCGTGAATTACGCGCGATTACAGCAACCATGGCGCATCGTCGGTAAACTCGCTAATTATAGCGTGACGGTGTACACCTCCAGGGCTAGGAAACCTCGCCGGTGTGTTTACCATATTTATACCGCTGGCGAATCGTATATTTTCGCGGCGAGTAAAATCGCGAGCTTCAGCAGGGTGTCGCGTGGCTGATCGTTTACGCTCGCGATAACCTCGCGAGACTATTTTCTTTTCTACACTCGTTCGTTGAAAATATCAGTGTCTGACAAGAGAAAGGACATACGCGATATTCTTATATCAAACTTACGACCGGAGTTAGTTCATTTTCGACGATAGAACGTAGAACATGTCTTTATACGTTTATGAGAGATGAGATGGTACAGAAGTTTAGAGGACATGGTAAGAAGTGTAGAGGACATATGCAAAGATGCGTGAAATAAGTCGAAGTAGAACATTTGTTGCATATTTAGCAAATTTCTGCTCAGGTCTGCTATATTTCTTTAACTTTTTATGTGTTTATAAATGATGATTTCAAGAAGCTGTAAAATTTAAATTAAATAACGCAGCCGAGATCAGTTTTCTCGAATCGCTCCAATTATTTAAATCTTCAATCATTTCCCGAACCATTAACATAGTATCATCATTCGAGATCAATGTTTGATAAACAAGAATTGTTATGGAAACATCCAGACGTGCGTTAAAACTTACTAAACATAAAGAAGATTTAAAGAAGGATAGTTCCTACAACTTCTTCGAGTTTCACCAACTACCTAAGCTGAGCCAAACACTTGATTTACTTTGAAATTAGTTTCCAAATGCTAAATGTCATTTAGCATTGATTAGGATATAAGAACAGAAAGTACAAATTCTACTTATTGTACTGTCGAGTCAAAGTGAGAGTTTGAATTTTCTGTAAACGATCAAAACAATACCGATAAATTGGGACTTGGTTAGAAGGCGTGTGTAGTAAAGAATGCTGTATAAGAGATGCGAAAAAATAGAGAATTAAGGTAAATAAAAGGGAATAAATTCCAAAAACGGAGGCAAAAGAGGGTAGAATAGGTACCGTAGTGGAGAGATAAATAGGTAAATAGAATTGGAAGTAGAAGGTAAGCGAATAATAGAGAAAATATAAAAAGGGAGGTTAGGTTAGAAAGCGTGGAATACCCAATCTCATTAAAAGCGGAAATAGAAAAAGACAGTGCAGTAAGGAAACAGAAATAGTCACTAGATTTAAGGTAATTAATAAAAATAAGTAAGAAATTAAGAAAATTAGGTGAGAAAGAGTAGGTTGTAGGTTGAAAGTAGAAGCATATCAGATAAGAAAAGAATGGTTGACTTAGAAAACAAGGAAACAAAAGACAGAGAAGAGGAAGAGGTTCCAGGCACTCCAAACTCCAAACACCAATACCGATAAATTAATGTTTGACATTTTCATTCGAAACCAATAACGAAACCTTGGCCAGTGTTTGTCATACATTTCCCGGAGAAATCGTGTATTTTCGCGGCGGTTAAGTTCGCGAGGTATCACGTGGCATCGTCCACGCTCGCGGATGTTTACGCGAGTGTTGGCCGCAGCTGCGAAATGCCAGGAACTTGTCCTCGAATGCGGATTCGTAGCGACCGCGTGCACTTTCCATGGCTTTTACTGCCTGCAGCCACGCCACGGTGATGTACCTTTACCTTGACGTTTCGCCTCGTTGTTTCGCAACATCGTCACGCTGACACGTGATCTATCGGCCCTGATCTCCGCCGCTGGATTTTGCTATCAAACCAACGATGCATTGAAATCTTCTTCGCGGTGATACACAGCGCGTCGTACAAATTAGAGTATATTCTTACGCTTGACTTTCTTTTTTTAATTTTTAATTCAACTCCTTTCAATCGAGTCGAAATCTTGGATAAAAGTCTGAGTTTGAAACTGTTTGGAAGTCATATTGACCAACTTCGTAAATCAAACAAATACGAATATTATTGTTTAGAATTTGTTTAGAATCATTTGAATCATCTTGCGTTGATTTATGGAAACGTTCTTTGAAAGCTACTGCGAGGTTCATTTAGACGGAAAGTCTAAAAGCGATTGAAGATGTTTGAAGTAAATGAGATTGGACGAAAATTAGGAATGGCGGGGTAATTGGTTTACGGCTTTTTACGTTTCGTTGCCTAGTTCGATCGCATGTTGTGCCTTCATTGATTCACCTATGTACATGACTGCGGTAAGTGGACCAACACTTATGCGGCGAATGTACGTTCTTGTCAGTTATTTATTACCATTTCCAAATTTGGAGTTAACCTTTCTTCGCTCTATTTAATAGTGTTTCAATGTGTTTCAACATCGTAATGCAAGAGGTTAAATATAATAATTCTTCCAAGATGAAACTATTAAACTGTCATTAAATTAGAAAACGATAGACGCTTGGAATTAAAAAAAAATTCACGATACTCAGCTTGAGGGGATGGAAAAAAAAAAAACGATAGCATAAATGATTTTGTTTGAATTACTCGTACGATTCTCGCGCGATTCAAACCATCAGCGAGACTCTGTCTTTCGGAAAGAGAGACAATTTCAAATAGAGCCAGGATTTATTCATGAGGTCGTAATCGCGAGTTGGCGCGGTAGATCTCGCGCGTTATCGCACCGGCAGTTTCGTAACTATTATCGTTGCTTCGTAATTCAGCAATCGTAGACATTACAGCGCCGTTAAGGATATTTTATATACAAGAATTTTCGCGAGATCCACGTAACCTGATAAGGATAACAGCGCCGAAACTTTCATGCCCGTTGCTGCGCTTGGTTGTATTATACGTACAGTAAGAGTCAAAAGTTAGTGTTCACCCAACAAAAATGAGGTTCCTATAGTACTTGTGAAGCATATTATTAAAACTGATATTTGTGTCATTGGAAACGGAGATACATTCACAGAAGAGAAAAAAATATAGTGCTAGGAGATAATTACTGTTCCAGAGGTAGGGCGACAGTTTTTGGAGTTGTATTAAAATTTTAACGCTAGAATTACTGACGACAAAGACTAAAAATTTCCATCAGAGACAACGAAATAAAGATCTTTCGCGAATTACACGAAATTATTTACTTTACTGCTTCTTATTTACACATGTGACGAAAATTGATCATTTAAATCTTTAAAACACACCGTTTTACATTTGTAAAGTTTCTAAAAGAATTATAAATTCGCTTCATTGATCAGTCATAATTTGATAGTTCTGGTGTCAAAATCTAAAACAAGTCTAGAGATCTACGATCCAAAGAATCCACCGCTGAAATGGTAAAATATTCTACGAAACGGAAAATTTCTACGAAACGTTAGACAAATGTTGTGCTTCCAGAGATGTATATTCACTTTTGGCTCTCGTTGTTGCCAGATTCACGAATCTTTCGACGATATGGAGATCCACGAAAGTAGTTGAAACTGGTTGCTACCAGACGTTCGAAGTCAACCAGTTCTCCATTGCAATCTTCATAATTTCAACACAGCAGAATATTTCTACTTGTAAGAGAGGCATTTGACAAGTTTTATGCCTTCGATATATTATACATTATATATTCACTTTTGACCTTCACTGTACACATACGAGACGTAATGCAAATTACCAGACCGGATTCGCGATGAAGTTTCACCGGAACCAGTGTGAAAGTCACGAGCAAAAAGAAAAAAAAAAACAGCTATTAATTCATATTAGGCGCTCCGGGCCGTAACGATCTCCTCGATGAAGTTATCGAACGATCTGGTCGATGGGTGTGATAACCTGCCGGAAGGGTGAAAACGATCTCGAATTTTCCACAACGTCAATGTGTAATTTTGCTCTCGGTTGGTGATTCTCCGTAGACTCCCTCCCCTTTTCTCGCGCCTGCTACGACGTTTATCGAGCTTACGAAGACGTAAAGTAAAATGCTCGTTAAAAAGAAATAACGCATTAATGATGTATTCAACGAAACGGCATTATTTAACTCGACGTTCTTTGTTTTCCCTGAACGAGGAGCCTCGCACGGCGAAAGCTAAATATGTATAGTCGCCGGTGGGGATGGCTGGTTGCTCGAGATAAATGGTCGCGACCAGGTTGTGCCTGGTAAATCGCGTTAACGCTGGCTCCATTGCGAAAATTTCGCTGGCTGGGCGGGAAAAAGAGTTTGCGACGCGAACGAATGAAAATCGCGATGAAAACGAATTTCTGGCTAGCATGATGGGATAGTTGTGTTATCGACAGCGTTTCGAAACTCTCTGATGGGTTTTCGGTGACAGACGTTGAAAGATATAAATGCCTAAGGAAAGGCGCTTGTTTTCAACGCGTCGGAGAAATGTTATATGCGACAGTACACGGTGAAGAGCATAATTGCATCGGGCGACAATGAAAAATTGGAAAACTGATAGAACTTTGTAAGAAAGAGTCATCAACAAGATCGTTCTCTCGCTCTTATTTGGAAGCGCGAAGCCTCTGCTTTTGACAGTTGTGAGATCTTTTCTTTCTTTTTTTTCTTTTTATTTTTTTTTTTTTAATGATTTTACTCATCATGGAGCTTCCTCGAAAATTGCAAAAATTCAAACGTTTCGCGTAGAAACTCCAAGAAATTTTTCTCGCGAATAAATTGGAGATTGAATTTCCTCTTTGCAACGACTTGTCGAAACCTCTTTGCTGAACGACCTTTTTCCTCTCACGATTGTACTGGTCGCTGTATGCGAACGATGTAAGAAACAAATAATCGTTTCGATACTTTCATTTCCACACTGTTCGAGTTCGTTCTTTTAAAGATATTTTTACGTTATTTCGAAGAGAGTGAATAAAGATACCTTCTCTGCCGAAGATTTTGTAAATTGCAACATCTTTATTCACATTCACACTGAAAAATTTTATTTACAACTAAATCCACGGTCTTGAAGTTTTTGTTTTCTCTTCACTGTAGTTCTCGTTTCTCGACCACCTCTATAGTATATAATATTAACAAGAATGCTCGATATTTTTACTTAGAACGTGAATACCGTAAATGTGAAACAATGGAGAATATCTTCTCCGCGTTTACGAAAAGTTTAATTCATCGTCTAATTAAGATTCTATTGACGCCATTAATCTCGCTTCCTCCCCTTTGCGAATTCGTAATACAAATAACGTTGATCGAAATCGCCGCATTCTCTGACAAATGATCACTCATTTAAAGACTCTGAAGCACGACGAACGAGTCGTGCATTTCCTTTGACTCGTTTGATCGCACAAACAGAAAGCTCTCTCATTGTCCAATTGAATTTATTTACTCGCTCCCTTAAAAGTTCCCGGCGCGATTTAACGTCCTTAATGCAAAGATATTGACGAGATTGCCGCAGATCGTGCTTGCAATTTCTACGACGTTCGAAACGCGATGGTCGTTATCGTACAAGAAAGTACCTGCTCGTTTGCGAGATTCCCTTTAATTGAGCGGCGAAGGAAAGAGGAGAGAAAGAGGCAGTTTCATCGATCCCGTATTCCTCTTTGCTGAACCCGAGGGAAAAAAGAGAGTCGCTCGTAGAAATGGCTGTGTTTGAACAGGGTCTCGTCGGTGGAAGGAAAATCCAAGCGGCCGGGACATAATCGTTCGGGAAATGGGCGTGGACGACGCGTTTAAAGCCTTGGGATCGCCGTTGCGCGGGTATTCGCGGCGTTTCAATGGCGTGCACACGGTAATTTCTCGCGGAAAATCCCCGCTAAAAGCTTAATTGACTGAGCGTCGGTGGTAAGCAGGAGCCGCCTCGGGGAGAGAAACGACGGCGAAGGAAGGGGGCGGGAAGAAATAAAGAAAACAGCCGGGGACAATGCGTCGTTGTTAGTCTAATGACTTCTTCTGCGCGCGAATTCGCGTCCCTGAAGCGAGTTGACGAGAGCAGCTGATGCGTTTTCCGTTCGTCGTCGCGATTTTTTCACCGGGTGAATTTTCAACGCAGCAGCTCCCCGGCATGTCGGTTCCATCATTGTTCAATGCGAAACAATTTCACTCGACCTGGAAAGACACGCGTCTCTCCGCTTCTCTTTGACCGAATTTTTGCTCCTCGACGCCTGTTCACCGCGATATTACCCCTCAACTTTTGACGTTGTTGTTGTTTCCTTTCTTTCTTTCTTTCTTTCTTTCTTTCTTTCTTTCTTTCTTTCTCTCTTTGTAAATCTTGATTTCTCTCCAAAAATTCCATCGAAACTAGGTTGACCATGAACACGGCGGATGTTTTCTGATACTTTGGCAACGTCTAATTGTTTTCTCCCCGTTTTTATCGATGGGTATTCAACGGCAGAATGGGACGAATAGTCGTGGCTGTTCGAAGTCTCCGGTGATTTGTCCGTGGCATTGGCGTTTTGTAACGTTCGCTTCTTTTTTCTTGGGTTACAGAAAGCCAGATTGGCACGAATCAGGATCGCGAAAGCTTCGAGCGGAGCGGCCTTCGTGAGCAAAAAGAAGGCGGCCGAGGCACGATTGGCCGCGCAGGAGAGCGGCCTTCAGCTGGACGACAACTACAAGGAGGAGGATATTTTCGAATTGCAGCATCATCATCTACTTCGTTGTTTAGAGAAGACCACGGTGAGTCTTTCGAAAATTATTCACGTTGCTTGTCCCCTTACATAATCTTATCCCCCAAGATAATCTTCGATTAATAATTTACATGTTTCCTTCTTCGTCAGTCGAATTCACCAAACTTGAGTTTGATTAATTTTATGAACGTATCGCGTGCGTTAACAATTTTGAAGTTTTATTAACGTTGTAATCAGATCCGATTGTAGTGTCATGATTATATTGATCAAATGTATACATATATGATATAAATTATAAGATATTTCATACAAGTACATGTTTCCCAAAAAATCATAAAAGCCGCTTAAAACAATCAAGTGTCATCATCTTCAATATTTATTATATGCTCAATATGACTAATGTATATTTGAAACGAAAATCCTACAATTCCTATCAGATTCGCTTCAAATTGCATCAATACGAATCGCGTCTTATTACTAGTGTTAATGAAATTTCGCGAAGTACATAGAAATTTGGCAAATTAGCAAGAACACTTTTAACATCAATTTAGTAATTTAAGCATTTTAATTATTATAGTATAATCAAAAGAAAAAAAAATGCGCAGTAATTAACAATCGACCTACACATGAAATACAAACGATCCGTCGCAAATCTTGGCAGTGAAACGACTTTCGAAACGGTGGTCTCGGTCAAGAGACAGTCCTCTTTTGTCACACGATGGCGCACGGTGTCGACTCTATAACTCTCTCGAAATGACCCGCGCCGACGATCACACGTCGAGAGGAAGAAGCAAAGCTTGCCTTTCGCACAACGTTGCAGTCGAAGCACGGGAAGGGGAAACGGGCGAGCATTCGCCTCGTTTTGAAAAGGGGGTGAAGCTTCTCGCCATCGACGCAGAAACATTCGCCTCATTAAACGTGGCGCACCTGGGGGTTTATCGTTTAATTTCGCGGCATCAGTTTGCGAAACGGGGGAAACGTCGCGTTATCTGAGAGCCGGTTCATTCGTCGCGTCGCCCCGCTACGAATTCAAGAGTCCGCGCGCTGCGGAATAATTTGAATAAACCCTCCTCTGTTCGCGTCCAATTTTAGCACAGCACTTGTGCACGAGGGATACCGTGCTCCACTCACTGACTACGCCGTCTAGCTTAACCCACACACACACACACACACACACGTAGACACACATACGTAAAACGAAGAGAATAACCCTCTGTGTGACGCTGTGACAGGTGTACAGTCGTGAGTTCGTGTTGGAGCATGAATGCCGGTACATACCCCTTTGTTGTCGCCTTTGTGAATTTCACAATTCGTAATAATAATTCAGCTGCCCCTTTCACTTCGTCGTGCGTTCGCTCGATTGGCATCGATCGGAATTGGGGTTTGCCGGGCAATTGAATCGGCGATTTTCATTCGAAGTAAGATTGTATCGGGTGTGAAGGTGTCTGAAGATTTCATCAATCTCCTCCATCGTTCTAATTTCGCATTTATCTAGCGTAGCATCGTGGAAGTATTTGAAAATTTTCATGGGAACATTCTCTGTGAACATGTTACCTCGTTGAAGTTTCATTAAGGCCATAATGAGAGCTGATTATCGTGACTACATGGGGCGATGTTTGAAATAAATTTGGAAGCACGTGTACAGTTTATAATTTATTTAAATATTTTTATAGATTTTATAGATATTTGATGGGAGGGGGTTGTTCGTTAATTTTTTTACTAAATACACTGTCCCCGATAAATATTTTGTACGTATATTTTTTGATTGGTCGTGATAATCACCTATCATTACGTGTGATATGTAATGAACAATTGCATGAAAAATTCGTTTAAAATGTTCGAACACTGTACAATGAATGACTGACTTTTCTTCTTTAAAATCTTCGTGATTTTAAATCTGATTAAAAATAGATCTTAATCGTTCTAAGTGTCTAATGTTAATTAATTTAAAAAAGTAATAATCTTTTTTAACTGTCCAATGTATTAGTAACGACAGTGCGAGTTCAAGTTTCGTTCAAGCACAGTAACGAATCGACGATCGTTACACAGTTTAACCTGATCATTTGCTAAATAGATTTTGTCGTCCCGATGACACTTAGCGATGTATCCAAAATCGGCATCAGCTTTTCGGTCGTTCGTTAACAGGAGCGTTTCCACGGCGCTGGACCCGAAACCAAATGCCGAAAGCTTGATAAATAGGTCAGTTCGCTTTCTGTAAAACGGAGGCCTGTCTCGGTGGCTACTCGAGCCTGAATTTCCACGGAAATTCTGTTAATTACAACTTCTCCCAGTTTACCCGCATCAGGGAGGACGCGTATTTTTTATAAAAATAAAAAGGAACTGTGTGTTCAGCGTTCGATTCTGTTATTTTACGACGAACAGATGGAAGATCCCTCCTTTTAATTCAACGTCAATAAATCGCTCAATACGAGAAAAAATAAATTAAATCAAGATGCTCTAACAACTAGAATATTCGGAAATATTATTTCTAAATTCACTTCGAGAAGACAGTATTTCTATTACAATAATCAATAATTTCAGATTTTTATTGTCTACAGGCCCCTATATTTTAATTCAAGGCAACAACAAACACGTGATGAAATTACATTTGTTGCTCTGCACCGTTAATTTTTAACTTACAACTCTGTTGACATGTACTAAACGCATAATTTACAGAAAATTATTATATTGTATATGCAGTTATTAATAAATTAAATTAAAATGTTGAATTAAATGATAATTAAATTATTATGTGTACATGCAGGTATTCACGTTCAATTCAATAAATAATTTTCGGTGCAGATTTAACAACATTACCAACTAAATAACAAATAAATCGCAACAACGATAAATACAAGAAAAAATTTCTATAGGTGGTACAGTTTTGTCTTTCCTTCGTACAGAGATTATATTCTTGATATTCTCACTGTGATTTCAAGTATTATATTTTTATATACACGTCGCGTATCTATCGCCTTCGTTTTCATCCTTCATTAACTCTCAATTATATCGGCGCGCTCTCGGCGAGATGGTTTCCCTCGATAGTCCCCGACTTCCGTTCGCAGCCCTTTTCCTGGTAAGGTGTACTTAACCCAGAAAGCAACGCGATTCCGGCGGCTTTTGTCGAGTACGCGAGGAAGAAAATCGCGCACACGGCCCGAGGCAGCGTCACTCCACTTCCTGCTGTCTTCGCCCTCGTCCTCTGTCGTCTTCTTCCGCGCGTCCACGTAACGCGCGCGATCTCGACTTCCTGCCGGCGTTTAACAGCCTTTTCAACGGATCTCGCGGAATCCTTTTCCTCTCTCTCTCTCTCTCTCTCTCTCTCTCTCTCTCTCTCTCTCTTCTTTTTTTTCTCCCCTTCGTTTCTTCTGAGAAACCTCTGACGTCCTTATCGCCACGAGTATCTCCTCGCGGAATCGGAAGAATCGCTGGAATTGCTATTGAAGATTCCGCGACGTTATTTACAATGTTCACGGTCGTTGCTCGGATTTTTCGTTCGAGCTTTATCCGGGGCTTCCCGCCCAACTCTCTCTCATGATTAATGCGTTTGGGAATTGGGAACGAGTCTCGAGGCGCAACTTTCGGCGTTTGAACTAAGTTGAAATGTTCGTAATTCGAAATATATAGAGAACGTACACGTACACGGTTGTACAAATACGAAGTTCCCGATGAAGAGTAAATTCGCCGGGGTAAAGAAAGCTAGCTGGCAGGTAGAATGTCTCTGTGATTACGATTATTACGACGGGTGGGGGGTGGGGGGATGATTCTACGCTCTAAGTCGGTAATAAAGAATAACTTTTTTGCTCCCGTTTGTATGAGTTTCGGCGCCAAGGAAATCGAGTTTAAAAGTTCGCCGAGTACACTTGAATACCTATTAATCTTCGAGAGAATTAAATTTGAAAGCCAATTCTCGACTAAACACGCTGGCAACTCCATTCTCGAGAGCAACACGAGGCCAGAAAAATTGCACTCCGCGAGAAAGGATATAACTTCCTATCGATTATTCATTCACGTCGAGTCTGGTGTTACTCAAATTCAACTTACATCTTCATGCTCCGTTTTCTTCGAATCAGGAAATGTTACGTTCCCGCTTTCACGATTTATTTTTACACGGAGAATCACTCCTCTGGTCCTCATGTCACGAGCACAAAGTTAGAGACGAAGCTCGAGGATCGAGGAAAATATCAAGGCAGAATCGTTTCCATCGTTTCAATCGAAACTTCTCCCGCAGTTTAATTCTCTTAAGGATACTCAACGGTGCTCCCCCGTTATTATTTTCCCTGGGTTTTCGAATCCCAATCACTCCGGCGCACGTGTCACCGTAATTGGCAACCGATATATCTTTCCGCAATGTGTCTGTGCCACGTCTTCGCGAAGAAGCTTCTTGGAAGAATATCCACGAACGATATGGTCTCGCGATAACGGTCGCCTGACAACAAGGACACTGTTCCGCTCTTTGATAGTGCCGTGACCTTTCACGAACGTTATCAAAGGTTCTTTTGCTCGATAGATCACGCATATCTGTGTCGACGATCTGTATCTACTGCAGGTTTGATTTTTCCATCTCCGAATCCCGTCGAGCCTTTCGAGAAAATCGTCTTTCAGTCTGAAGTTTCGCGCGAATGGGCATCTCGAGCGAGAAGCAACGTCGCTGAAATTCGACGATGACGCGAAACTGACGTTCGAAACGCCCCTGTGCCTTCGAGGCGCTTGTTTTCAACGCGTCGGAGAAATCGCGCCGATGTACTACTGTCAGCAAGTATTTGGACAGTTGATGCAACGCGGTTACGAGACTCGATATTTTTGTTACATCGATTTTTATGACGGAGGGACTAAATTGGAACTGAAACAGGGAAACGTGTCGTCGTTGAGTTTTGTGATAATTAGCATTTCTTGAAATTTACAGAAACTTGGAATGAGAAACGTGCTTTCTAATTCGGTGTAAATGGGCTAGTTAGTTTTATTAATAGCTTAATTATTATTATTATTTTAGTGTAATTAATTTAAATAAATATAGCTACACTCTTATATCATTATTATAAATTATAA